TACAACTTGAAAGGGATACCTGGTGGATTAAGCATTTATTGCATTGGTGCAACATTAACTCAGCAATGTTTAATCTGACTTTTATTTTTGGATTGCGTTTTATTATTAAGGATTCATGACAAATCCATCTCGGAGCCCATCAGCTCTTATCTGATGATGGATTCTCTTCTGTTCCCTGTACACAGTTTACAGTTCAAACAGTGATGCATTGACTTTGCAGGGTGTTTTAGGTCCTGACGACATTTTGATCAACTTCTATGAACAGCTATGTGCATATGAATACAGATGAATTCCAACAATGATTAATTTTGGTCAATGTGTTCACACAAACTGTTAACCTGCGGGCCACAAAAGCTCAAACATGATTGGTCAAACTAGAAATGGAAACCAGAAGACTTCCCTCACCTGCAGATTCTATTCACATTTCTCTTTATATACACACTTAGAAAGTTAATAATCATATTAATATTGTACTTGACTATTTATACCATACTATTTGTGGTTGGGAATTTCTGTTTTGGCCCACATTCACTTTCTTCAAAGAGTGATTCCTCTTTTGTGCAGAGCATGATGGGAATGGAAGCGGCATAGTTCTATTCAGTGAATGTCAATATAGAGGGAATGCAAATAAATAACCTTACAGCAGTCAGCTATATGTTTCACCTGGTGTGTGAGGAGTTTGATTTGGTCCCTGCTGCCCTCCCATCTTCAGAGAGTGTGCAGCCGAGGAGCTGCCGTTTGCTGACAGCTCAGTGGACCTGGTGACAGCCATGACTGCGTTCCACTGGTTTGACAGGCCACGCTTTCTCCAGGAGGCCCACAGAGTCCTGAAGCCCCGCGGCTGCCTGGCTCTGCTCAGCTACACCATGGACATGGAGCTCAGCTACGAGGACTGCTGCTCGCAAACACTCAACCAAGTCTGCAGAGAGGTATAGATATTCTTACATGTCAGGACACATGATAAATCCTGCTGACACGAGTACTTCAGGGAACCATTCATAGTCATGGACAAAGCAGATTTTATTCTGGGGCTGGGGATCCCACCATTTAATAACCAAGTCATTTGTGATAACCTGTTGACATATCTGCATAGTGAAAGATCAGAGACCTATCTCAAGCAAATATGTCCATTTCCCATCTTGGCATGCAATTCTATACATCAACTGAGGAGACTAGAAATCAGTGGGCTATGAGTATGACTACAGTAAATTACCTTTAAGATTAAAGATTACATGTTTTCAGACAAGCTTCATCACACTGAGACAAAGATAATATAATAGCGCTGAAAGTTCTGTGCACTGCAACTTATGAAAACGTGCACGAGCTGACAAAACAAGCAAATAAAAGAAAAAAACACCTTCATCAAAGCAAATACAAGAGACACAAGCAAATCACAATAAACAACATCGCCATCTAGTGGATATTCTAGTGTAATGTCAGTGAGCAGCACATCTGACATCTGTTGTATATAATGACATAAATGAAATTGATGGACTTTTCTAATGATTTGATCAGTTTTATGCAGCTTTAAAACTTTACCGCAACCCTCATCTTGGTCCCAGCTCTCTTGAGTTGTACCGGGAGACATATGAATCCATCCCTTACCCTGACAAGGAGTGGTGAGTGAATAAATTCTTCTTTCTAAATTCTGCATATTAATTTCTAATCTTTTTTCACTTCAGACTGTAATTTATACCTTAAACACACGTCTTGGAAATAATCACACTGAAACACTGTACCCTCCATTTTGTCTGTGCACAGCATGGTAATATTCAAACTCAAAGCTCTACAAATGAAAGACATGACTTGACTCTCACTCGTGTGTTGATTTGTGTGTGTCTTCATAAAGGCAAGAGTGTGTGAGAGTGAGAAAGGCCATGCCTCTGTCCAGCTACATGGGGATGGTGGAGTCTTTCTCCAGTTATCAGGCTCTTTTGAGAGATGACCCACAGAAGGCCACACAACTCTCCCAGGACACCTGTCAAAAGTAAATACTTATACACTACAGTATAAATATGCATACATATCACACATGTGTCTGTAGAAATTAAGAAAATTACCTCTGCCAAGGATTTTATATTTCACCCCTAACTGTTTTTTAAAATTTGTTTATGACATAGATTACACAAAACCTACTGAACAGCGTATGAAATTTGGTGCAGCTTGATTGACTTATAACACTTGATTTCCCATGCTCCTCTCTGTCCAGGCTGATGTCTGTGATGCAGGTGACCTCAGCAGAGGCAGAGGTGGTGGTGACTGTGAAGTATTACTACCTGCTGGCCTGTAAACCAGAGGAGGCCTGAGTCCACCTCACACTTTCAGCACCAGTCATGAACATCACGGACACAGAAAATCTTTGTGTGAGGCTGTTTTATAAAATACCACTAGAGGGTGGCATTGATCAAGAGTCTATGTGATTATTGAATCTCTGTATTAAAGGTCCTGTTTTTAATATTTAGGTGAAAGGGAACTATTGTGAGAAATTTAATGTAGAATAATCCTCATGATGTTTTCACTAGTTCATTTTCTTAACCCCAGAAAAGGCCCTTTATATTTAAATACTTTATATTTACATCGAGGGGACCCTCTTTACGGAGGCCGCCATGTTTTTTACATTAGTCCAGACTGGATAAACTAAACACCTTTTGAGTTTTTATGACAATTGAAGGCTACCACAGTTTCTTTTCCATGTTTGAAAGGAGAGGGTGAGGTGAGGGGTGTTCAGCTGCGACATGGAATTTCAACAGTAGATATCACAAAATTCTACACACTGTACCTTTCATTGTCCATCTTCATTTTGCTGGCATTTTTTATCTCTTTTTGAAACCCATCTTAATTGAGGCATAAGACTTCATTCAATGGGCTTCATCAACATAACCGCAGACAGATATATTCTCTTTATTTGTAGACCTGTATGTTCTTTCAGATCTTCATTTGAGTTTAGCTGCGTTAATCAATATTTATATGATAGTGGTGATGAACCTCATAGCAGATATACGGTGTCTGTACTGTAGAAACAGTCTGTTTCATGATTGTTCCCCTCTGGCTGCTTGAGATCTGTTGTGACAGGATCATATGTCTTCATCCTCTTGGAGTCTGAGTCCTAGTTTGTGCTGGACACAGATTAGAGTAGAGGCATTAAGCCTTTTGTGTCCCCAAGTAGCCTCTGGCATAACTGGCCTGACTCCATTAGACTGATGGTGTTCTGAGTGGACATGCATGTTTTCTCTGCATCTCTCTCTGTGGCAGCAATTTGTGTATCCTCAACTGTCCGAGTCAGTCACATGATCCCAGTGTGACTGAGCAGTGTTCCACTTGTTGAAGAGCAGACTGACGGCTGAGAGACCACACAACAAGCAGAAGAGCTGAGGGAAGCTGCAGTGAAGCTGAATCACCAGGGGAGATTCAAAGGGTCTGCTGATGACTGTGGGTCAAACACTTCACACAGTGACACACTGTGAAGGATTTTGTTGTTGCGGATGCTGAATATTCTTAACATCTCTTTATGCTATACTAAAAATGTCATTTTTATTTTTTATTCTAGTCTGATGGCCTTACTGTAATTTTAACCAAAACTACAAACCTCTGTTACGTTTATATTTTAAAGCATGCTTCAAGAAAACTGTACAATTTTAAATGTATTTAAATGACAGTTTTAATTTTAACAATGATTTCAACATGAGGCTAAATGCAACAGTTCCCAGTTTTGCAATAATATGGCAAATATGAACCCTCTTTTGTTTTTGTTGTAACAATTACATGAGTTTATACTTCAAGGTCTAAAGTTCAAACTTGTCCCCACAAAGACAAAAGTACACACACATACTCGTGGATAAAGACAAATGAAAATGAATGTGAAATGAAAATAAATGAAACATGACTCAATGTCCACCACAAGGTACAAGTGATAAAACATAAATAAATAACATATAAAACAAAATTCTGTAAAATGTTTCTTTTGCCTTTATTGCTTAAATTATCTGAAAATGAAACCAAAAAAACCCCAAAACAAATGAATTATCAGAGCTTTTCCTTTTGGGTCACATGAGGACACTGTGTCCACAGTTTTAAATCAATATTGAAAATATGAATAATGCAGCCTCCTTCAAAGGAAACCACTTAGATTTAAATATACCAATGAGAGTTACGTGTCATTTTTATATTCTTTCTTATTAGTCACAAGATACATTTTTCCCTCCAGCTGCATTCAAATGAAAGAAGGTTGAACATAAGTAACAAAGCTCAAGATATTTGGGTGTTAAGAGTTTAAGTGGGAACAAATGTAATTTGAGTCAGTTGACAGATGATATTTTTACATCAGTGATGCCTGGTACACTTTGATTATGTTTCCTCTTTCAGTTTGTTGTAAAGCTAAAAGCCCTCACTGGATACTAAGACATATATTTACTGTTTGAATTAACAAACCAGCTATATGAGTATTTTTATGCTCATACAGTATATTGTCTCAAGATTTTATCCTTTTTGGAATATATTCAAGAACAGTCACCCGATGACTTATGAACGATTAATAATTATGTTTTTTCTTGTTTTGTTCTTATATGGTTATATGTTGAGACTATTTTATTGTTTGTTTGGCTATCCCAATAAATTATGTTGATGATGTGCACCTTTGAAGCCTCTCCATACTCACCTCACACACATTACAACTATGTCTAATATTAAATGTCCTCTTTTTTAAACATAAAACCACTTAACTTCCTTTGAGTTAAGATCATTTTCTTATGTCCCTGACTTCACAAAGCAAATGACAAGACAAGACGCACACAAAGACACACAGAAGATACACACAAGATTTAAAAAAGTGACCTTACAAAACATGTTTTTCCAAGTGAATGCATTATCTTTGGAAGTCCTTGAAAGAATCCTTTCAAATTTAGAACAAATGTTCACTTACAGATCAACTGACCTGACTTGCGAGGTCAAAGGTCAATGTCATGGTGGCCTCTTGAACAAGTCTCCCTTTCAAGAATTTATTCAGTTGTCACTTGGATTAAAATATTAACTGAATTTAGTGGGGAAAATTTCCTTTGAACTTCTAGGTCTACACATAAATCATCTCTTACGTCAATGCTGTATAAATATGCATACTCCAGTGATACTCAAGTGTTTACTCAGTAACCTTTCTGTTTATTCACAGATTATTTTAATTTGTGATAGGTACTTCAAAAGTCTAACTGCAGAGTATCTGAGTGTTCTGGAAACAGCAAGGTCAGAATATGCTTATGATACACATTTATGTTTGAACAATAACCAGCTCAAGGTTAAAAATAATATATTTTATTGTGAAAGTTGGAGGAAAGAAAAGAAAGCGGAACCAAGGTGCGGCTATCGTTTCCCGACAGTGCCCAAGGTGAGAGGTGTTCCCTCAGAAAGAGACTTGGAGAAGAAAATGGTGGTGCGCTCTCTCACTCTGTGATTCTGTGAATCTGTTTACAGGTTGGTACTCTCTTAAACGTACTATGACTGCCTCCTCCTGAAGTGTGCAGGAGCTTGTTGTAGCTGTGATGAGTCGGTTGTTGAAGTTTTTTGTGTACAGCCGAGTTGAAGAACTGCGGGCTTGTGTAAACAATGGCGCTGACGGATAATTCTCGTTTGTATCGTTACGGTGTGAATGTGATTTTGTGCGCTGGCATGATTCGATATGATATGTGATATGATATGATATGTTACTAATGATTGTTAATGTTAAAGAAAGAGAGGTTTACTGTTTATAACTCAAAGTGAGTTACCCCTGAAGTTATACAGGAGCAGTTACAGTATATGTCTGCTATGTGTTCAAACGTGCTCTCCCTATGTGTATTGTGTTTCATGTTTGTGACTTTAGAGTCATTTAAATATTCATTGAAAGCCAAAGAGGGTTTATGATTACATTACATCAAAATGATGGTGGATTTCTTGAGTTAAAAACGAGTATCTATACAAGTTAAAAACATGATCTATTCTTTGGATATTATTGCACTTGAAAGAAATTATTAAGAAGTTATTTTTATAACAAGTGTATTTTTATAATGACATGATAACAGAAAGATGAGATCTTTGTAGAGTTTTGCACTACAAGGGAAACTACTGGAACAAAGGCACAGATGACAACAGGTCAGTGAGCGACGACTAAAAGAAGCACCACCATGACACACCGGTTCTTTGAGGGGAAGGAGCACGCCTCCGTCTACCAGAAGTATCGCGTTGAACCTCCAGATGAGGTCAGAAATATTATCCTTCAATACTTAGATGAAAAGGTAAGCCATGTTCTGAATACATAGTACACTCTCTTATCATATTGCATTTAGAGCTCTTTAACTGGGCATGCTGCTTATTGGTTGTAAAAGTTAAGAGTTCATGAGGAAAAACCTGAAATATGCTTCACACTGACAACAAGTGTTGCAAATCTGTTGGCATCCTCAGAAGGGACAGCCACATGTGTTGGCAGTAGATCTGGGATGTGGAACAGGTCAGACCACTCGAATATTGGCACAGCACTTTAAAGAAGTCGTTGGTATTGACATCAGTGAGTGTCAGCTTGAGGAGGCCAGAGCTGTGCCAGGGTTCTCCAACATCGAGTACAGGTAAGACATCTCGAGAGGCTGTTGTGTTAACCTGAAAACAAAGCAACTGAATGGTGTGAAATATTGTTAATATAGGGTTATATTTTATTTCTGTGTTTTTCTGTTGTAAAATTCTGCTTAATAAACAGTGTCATTGTCTCCATCAGCTATATTTCTATGTTTAAAAGATTTGTCATTGGTTACCCTGTTGTTTTTTTTATCATGCTCCTCAACTCCACATCTCGTTTGTAACACAAATAAAGGAGTTAACTTGGTCAACAACTAGGTCTCCCGTCCCTTTGTGCACCTCTCTGATCAGCTGAGGGACAACTCCAGTGTGTATAGGCACCCAGGAACACCAGAATGTATGACAAAATGTAATGCTTCTGGATACGTCACTTAAGATTACCTTCCCCTCAACATGGCAAGATGATAAGATACCCAGATGCCTGACTCTAATAGTCCACTCTTGCTCTAAATTAATTGAATGAAATTCAGACTTCAAAAACAAGTACTGCATGAAATAATAGATCTGACATTCATATTAGTGGGACTGATAGTAGAGTGAACTGTTTTAAATGTCTTTCTCTGTGACCTGTATTGAGCCTCAGTCTCACTTTGCACCTGCAGGAAAGGGAGAGCAGAGGAGCTTCCATTTTCTGACAGCTCTGTAGACTTGGTAACAGCATCAGCAGCTGCTCACTGGTTTGATCATGCAAAGTTCCTTGCTGAGGCAGGTCGGGTTCTGAAGCCCCGCGGCTGCATTGCTCTTCTTGACTACAATACCACCAAATTACACTACTCAAACTGTGGAGAACGACTTGACAGCATCTATGATGAGGTGGGTGTAGAGTCATTAGCATGATCATCAGCAAAAGAGCCAATAATTACAAAGGTTGGATTCAGGATCTCAGGCAAGACCTTTAACACACTATCAGTCAAAATATAAATATTAATTCGTCTCATAGGACTTTACAAGATGCAACTGTACACCTCAGAGAGCCACATGTGAGGGATCCCTCTCCCAGTCAGACAGAAGTGCAATAGATGCCACGTGTAACTGAACAAAATTGACAAAATCAATGATGATTAAATGTTATTGCTGGTAATTGTAGACTATGTGAGTAGAGTGGAAAGAGAGAGCCATCTTGAAACTGCTAGCTTATATAGACACCCAGCAGGTGAGGCCAATTCTTCAATGAGGAGGGAGGAGCCAGCGATCAGAGCCTCTGAAAGAAAAACACAGGGAGGGCGGAACCAGGACTATCATATGACCGGAGGCCATCACAGTGGGAACCTTGTATATCAGGGTCTTGTTGTAATCATAGTCCACCATCAGGAGCCATCATCACACAAAATACAAAAGTCAGCACATATAGTAAAGGATTCACTTTTTAATCTATATTAACTTTTAGGTGCATCAGCTGCTGATACCATACACCAGCAACCCAGTAGTTCAGTGTGACAGTGAACTGGAGAAGTTATACTCTGCAATCCCTTTTCCAGACAAAGAACGGTAATTACAACACAGACACTTAACTTACCAATGCTAAGTACACCTCTGTAATACCTAGAAATAACACCACTTCTGCTGACCTTTAAAAAGATCAAATATTAAGCACAGTCATTGAACTGTGGTTTTACACAGTAGCCTTGTTCTTTAACAATTAAAAAAAACACCTAATGTTGCTATTTTATCTTTTGAATAATACATGAATCTACAAAAGGATTGAAGGTATTCAAGTGAAATCTTTCATCACACTGAAAAACCTGTTGGGATTCATTGAGACCTGGTCCATGTTCCAAACTTACAAGAAGGATGACCCTCAGGCTGCCAACAACCTGCTGCTCAACATTCAGAAGAGGTAACCTAGAGAGAGATGACTTTGAGAATTGAATCAGAATTGTCTGACTGTTTTCCTGTGGTGCTGTAGATAAAGAGGTAAAATAATCAGACTCTGTTTCTCGCTGCTTGACAGGTTTCTGGACGAAATGGGAGTCACCTCTCTTAACACTGTAATAGAAAGGGAGATGACATTTTTCGGTTATTTGGCATCAAAATCACAATAATCAACTCTGTAGATGTGTGTTGTAACAAAGTACAATATATATAAACTTCAGAAGCCTATCAAAGCCTTTGATGCATTAAAGAGGGAGCTTATTGAACTTTGAAATTCTTGTTTTTTCCAGAACTGTTACTGAGCTTTCCTTGTGTCATGATAATTATTTGTCAAAAGACTTACAACCTAATCCATAATACAAGTTTTAGACTAACAGAAGTTGTTTTCAGACATGCATTGAACACTGGAGATCCTCCAGAGTGTCCCAGATTACCCAAATTCACTCCTACATTGTAGGCCCATGTATCACTGACCATTGACCAACATTTTGACTGTATGATAAATGTTTTTACCTCAATAAATTTGCTTATGATACATACCAACATACTTTTACTTTCAAGACTTTGAAGAAATTATTTTCTCAGAGGAAATTTTTTAACTTTAACTCCATTTTGGCCAGTTTAACAAAAGTTGTCACTCAGTTGAAAAAGCTTTTGTATGAAAATCACAGACAATTTCCAATGTAAAATAACTATAACTCATGTACACCTTGAAGTAAAATGTATTTCTGGTTATTACATAGAGCTTGACCACATGGAAGTGCTGGTGTGAATGCACGAAATAAACCTTTCAGTCCGTGCTTATCGCACTAATTTATGTTCAAGTGTGGATTTTTCCAGTAAGTTCATTTAATTAGTTATTTCATACTATAAAAATAATGCAGGACCTCACACCATGATCACTACTGCACAGACTACATGTCCAAATGAGAGGTATCTGGGATTGCTTCATTTTTCTACATTGAGAAATGCAGACGTATATCCCTTCAACTGAGTGATAGACTTGTCTCTGCTGACTTCAGATCAGTATCAGAAGTATCAGTGAGAAAGGCCATGCCTCTGCAGCAGCATGCACTCTTCAGTATTTGTAGCCTGTGCTCGCTGTCCACTCATAATGCTGACGCTCAGATTCATAAAGCATGGTGGAATTACATCAGTTATTTGTGGAAGTACACAGACAATAACACTAGAGGGTGGTATTTCATCAGATAAGGTTTTAGAGAACCCTGAAAAAAAAAAGGACAATAGCAGAAAAGAACCAGATGGAGGCTCCACCTGATGGAGGAGTAGCACTGTTTACATGCTTAAACAAATGAAGCTGGTTTTAGGTTAATGGACAGAAGGTGAAAGAATAGCAAACACACAAGATGGAAGCATATGAACTTTTCAAACAATGTTTAATTTCCATTGTAGAAAGAACATCATTGTGTTCAGCTGCTGGATTTGTCAACGATTTCAAGTAGCCAACATTCTGTTCCTCAAGAAGATCCCACAATTCCTTCTTTTTACATTTTCCTATTTTCTGTCTCTGTGTTAATTTTAAGACATTGAATTATGTAAATTGAGAAAATAACTAGAAAAACTGAAGAGCTCAAAACATATATATTTTTCTATACAAGACACACTTTAATAAATGATCCTGGATGAATCTTTGAGGAGAAAGCAGAAGCTCTGTGTGTTGGGGTCAGAGCTGAGATGGATCTTGCTTCTTTCTGCTCCAGAGAAAAGTCCAGCTGAGAATCATTCTAAGACATCTCCACACTTTCCTTCCAAGCTTGTTACTGATCTCTTTGTTCGTCAGCTCCTCTGATCCCTCTGATTCCTGGCATCTTCACACACCCGACAGGTTCTCAGGCAAAATTTACACCAGAGGTCACAATGTTTGCTTGAATCAAATTTGTTTAACTCCTTTTAGGAGCTACATTTGAAAACGCAAACCATTCAGATCAATTTTCTTAAAGAGGTGCATGTGCATTAGTTTGTGTGTGAATAAACACTACACAGGCAAATCACCACTGACACGCAGGCTCAGGGTGAGATGATTTGAAGAGTAAACTGCCTGTAGGTCTGTAACTTGGCAGGAAACTACTAACCCCCCCCTCGGTTTCCTGGGAAGCACCAAAGCGTGGAAAACATCCAGTCGCCTTGAATAACCTCCAATGATCTGTGCAATAGGAAAAAATGTTCCTCAGGATGACTTGTGCCTCTTATCACTGAGACATGTTAGATGCACGTTAGAAGCTCCATGCACTGACATGACCAAATGTGCGCCTGAGAGAGAAAATTAATTTAACTTTACCGCTGCAACCTTTGGGAGTAATTCACAGTTCATTTGCTGCCATTTTTCCTGTTTGTGTTTATTCCAGAAACCCATCTCCCAGGTATGTCCAGGGTGAACCCCGCTTTAAGGTGTCTGTAGCTGTATTGTCTGCACCTGGCAGCACTGTAGGGTGGCAACATCCTCGATTGGCCGAATCAGTCACCTGATCACAGTCCAACTATGTGTTGGAGTTGGTGAAGAGCGGAATGAAGACAGAGAAACCTCAAAGCGATCTGAAGAGCTGAATGAGACTGCAGTGGGAGAGAATCACCAGGGATGATTCAAAGAGTCCGCTAATGTCTGAGGGTCAAACACTTCACGCAGTCCCTGACTGCAAAAGATTTCCCACATGTTAAATATCTTTACATATTTAATTAAACATTTTTATCATTTCTTTTTGCTTTTCAAAGTCTTATCTAAAAAGTAAGGCTAAATTCAAGTGTTCCCAGTGTTAATTAGAAAACACATTTGTTACAGTTACACGAGTTGAAACTTCAGCAGGTCGGACTCTCTCCTCACACAAATACAGACATAACTCAAGTGATTTGTTTTTATTGGTGTGTCTTTTCACAATTGGATGTTTCCTCTTATAACAGGGTATCAATGTCTCAAATGATTTCATCTACATCCATTTAAGTCAATATATAAAATGTGGATCAGACAGGAGGCACACACGAGCTGAAGTCAGATGCGAATGATTACTGTGCAAAAACATTACATAAGATCTGAACATACAAATAAGATATATGACTCATTTGAATTCTCATTTGTATTAGTCACAAAACCAAGCGAGTTGTGTGTCAAATACGGAGCAGTTCTGCTGTACACGTTTTCATCTCCACTCACATGTGCTACAACTGAAAGTCCTCCCTGATTACTGAATTCTATATTCAAATATTCCTTATTATATATTTGTGACTGTGCCCAGACTGAAATATCTATCTGAGTACTTTTTCACTTGTTTTTAATCATGCATTCCATAATATGTTAGTACATGAGTACTTCTGATAATATAAGCTTTGATCAGCCCTGTACTCCTGATACTTGAAAGCTCTGCACATCCCACAAACTTTCCACATGACTGAAGGACACAAAATGTTGTCAGAAAGCATCAGTTCCCATTTATTGTTAAAACACATCTTATTTAGTAATGTCAAATTGCACTCTCAGCTATTTCTGAGCACATCCTGGGAATTTATAGCTAATATAATCTCATCTTGATGGAGAACAAATGTTCAGTGGTCACTTGTCAAACTGTTCTTCTGTAATCTATAAGAAGTATTTTTTTCACACACAAAAAATTGGTGTCTGTTAGATTTTAACCAACAAGGCTAAACTAAGTAGCTCACCGTGCTTATTAGTAGTTTGCTTTTATAATTACAAATAGAGTACAGCCCTTCTTAATTTTCCTAACAGCCTCTCGACTTATCGCATGAGCAAAACAAACATTTGGCAGAAAACAGGATGTGTCTTGTTATGACATGTGCGTTAGTCATGTTCTTGCAGAGGAGTTTTTCTCTCGTAAATTGAGTCGACAAGATACGCTGACATCTGGGTCATGTGTTTCCAGCAGGGAGAGCGAAGCCCCGGGTGTGAGACTTGCTTTCTACAAGATTAAGATTCGAGGCCAGTGGGGCTGATGTCACTGCTGCAGCAGTCACGGTCACGGCTGGATGTGAACTGACAGCCAGATGTGACTCACGCAGTAAGTAGTGATGTAATTTATGATTCGAAAAACTGTGCTTAAAGAGTGTTGTAAGTGCAAGACACAATTCTCCAAATGTTTGTGTTAGTAAATCATTAAATCCAGATTTAAAAAAAAACTTGAATTCCTCCAAAACTTTTGTTTAGGATCAACTATCTACAGAGCTAAAGACATTCCCATCAACCTTGTGTGCGCTTTGTCTTTACTGCTAAATATTTGCATGCTAACACACTAAACTAACATGAGGCAACATGGAAAAGATTATACCTGCTGAACATCACATGTCAGTTTGCTGATGTTTGCATTTAGCTCATATGCCAGTACCTTCAACCTGCAGGCCAAAACAAAGAGCTTTGTATTGACAGAAAAGGATCAACAGAAGGTCGGAGCATGTGACACTGTAGAAGACACATAAAGTGGACTTTAAAGCAATACAAGATACAATAGAATAAGACAATGCTATTTTAAAACTTACAGTGTAGCTATAATGTGAATTAATTGTAATGTTTTAAACTCTGATTAAAATAATATGATATCTATGAATTCCTCCCAGATATATGATATATAAAAACTGAATGTTGATTTTCCATGTTTAGTTTTGGAACAAGAAGAAGACGTGTCCCAGATGGTCTGAGAGGTCTGGAAACTTCATAACAGAGCAGCACATCAGAAATATATTTAATCAACACTAAACAAAAAAAGAAATGTTATTTAAACACACAGAGAGCCAGTTTAAATATCTGAGAACTGGAATGATGTCATAATAGAGTCCTAACAATATTCAATTCCTATTGTATTCATTGAGGTAGAGCTTGGTTTTGTAATTGTGTTGACATGTTCATACACTCTTTCACTGCAGAACCTTTCCATTGTTGAAGTGAATGTCATTCAGGACTAGAGTGAAGTTCTGTGTTATTGATGCGGTTGAAATCCTGCCTGGAAAACTTCAAAACAGTTGTTTAGGGGCAAGAAGATTTTAAGCTGTTGAAAAACAACCTTCTAAATGACACCATAGAGGTTTAATAACTGCAGCTTCAGGGTAAGTGGAAAAAAGCTTTGATAAGTGTTGACTATTAGCTTGAAAATCTGATGCCATGCATTTGATAGAATTTGGAATTATTTGAATTATCAAGGCAGCAGGGGGTTATATGATTGAGAGGAATAATCTGGGTCAACTGTGGATGCAAGGACAATTTAAAACCCTGATACGTCGGAATCATAGACCAATATGGGAGTACCTAAAACCTGTATTATCTTGATAGACCAGCAGAGGTCGACTGGTTGGGAAAAGAAGTCTTATTATTTTCACACAAGTGAAAATGTTTCCAGAGACTTTATGATCTCAATCACTATATATAAAAGATAAAATAGTACCAGCTAATGGGTGTAGTTTGCAGGTGCAGGTGGGTGTGGATTGACCTCGAGCTCTCAGTGAGGCTCCACTCCAAAAATATGGTTATTTCTAGTTTGAAAGTCCAAGATGGTGCCGACCAAAATGCCAAACTCGAGGCTTTAAAACAGCAGCTCACAAACAGGTTGGTGATGTCACTGCTGGTTTCAACTTGCCCTGACATTTTGTCTAATTTTCTGAATTTTGCCAGCTTTCTTTGAGCTGTCTGATTTCACCGAATAGAATTGTTCAACAACATAGCTTGTCTCTGAGCTCTATAGCTGCAACACTCTTAACTTAATCTGACCAAGTTTCATCTCAATTGTCATTGATGCTCCCTTCATTTTTATCACACATTTTCTTATGTATAAATACTTTAAATCTCGCAATACCTTTCCATTATGTTAAAACTTTATTACATGTAGGTGTTCACATCCTTTCAGATAGTTAAGTCTAAATATGCATTCCTAAATCACATTGTGTCCTTATGTCTTGTGTCCTCTCTGTCTGGACGAGTTAGATATGAAAGTCCCTAAGCGTAGACACTACAGTGTACTGTTGGCTGGCACTTTATCTATAACCTGACCTTTGGTACTGCTTGGGGAGAGAAGGGAGTGTGTGTGGAATAAGAAAGGCTCCATTCTCATAATGGTGTGCAGATATATACTGTTCTTTATCCTTTTAGCTTTACATGCTGATTATTAAGTTTTCAATGTTTAAAATCTGGACTGCATGTTCTTTAACTGCAACTGATCAAGTTTTATTTGAAGAGTTTCTCTGACTGTTCTCTTCCACTTTGTTACATCTCCACAACATGCTAATAGCTCTCCCATAAATAAACACAGATGTACATTCTGTCCTCACTTGACGTCAGCAGAATAACAAAAGCAAACTGTGAAGCACACCCTTTGAAAAGGAGTGAACGCTCAAACCATTGTCACAGGGGCAAATTCTTTGGTGTATCAGCATCGTTGGAAGCCTGATGGCTAACACCTGTCCAAACAGATGAAATCAAATCAAATCACTCCCTCCAAGATTAACAGTCTCCACTTCTCTTTTCTTTTCTTTTTTAAAAAGCTAAGCAGCAGCGCAGTTAACAACATGTTCTTGTTTTACAAAGACAGGTCTCATGCCCCTTAGTCCAGCTGGTTGAGTGAATCACAGTTCAGGGTGAATTGAGTTTACCCCACGAGGCAAGTGAGCTGTTCTGCCAGCCAACCAACTGAATTGTGGGTCAGTGTTTGAGGTTAAAGTAAGGGTTAAGGTAAATTTGGGGTTAGGGTTATTCTTAGCAAGTAGTGGTTATGATTATGGTTAGTCGTGATTGCATTTGGGACAGTAATGAAAGTCTGTGTCGCGTATCCAAAATTGTTTCATTACCCCCTGCACTGACTGCATTAGTTAATCCAAAGAATTTGAGCTGTCTAATCCTAATTAAGCCAATTTCAATTAAAATATTGGACCTCTCATCTGCCTTTCATGCTCCATAGTGATAATGCATGTTTGAAATCCTAAACTTTTAACATTGCACTGCTGATTCCTACACTACGTTAATGCTGTTCTTCTGAAATGTATGGTGCTGTCTATGTAGTGACAGTTTTAGCGAATAGGTAAAGGTAAATAATAATAATAATAATAGTAATAAATGTTGAATAAATTTGATTTCTGTGAGTTTCTCATAATCTTATTGATGAATACTGGAGACCTCGTAATAATTATTATTATGTTATTACGATAGAAGTGACCGGAAACGAGGGTGCCACTATGCGGAACTGTTTATCCTTCCGCATGTCTACACGGACAACAATGACGAACGGCAGTCGCCGCACTTCCTTTGCCCATGACGCCGGATCGAAGTTGTGACAGCTGATTGTCCATGTCAGTGTAAATCCACCGGGAGCCTCCAGACCCTCAGTGTTTGTGAGCGATTCAGAGGCGGACGCGCTGCGACAGTCTCCGGCTGCAGTTACAGACGGCGCCTTGAACAGAGGAGGCGGATTGATTATGGTGTAGCACGGAGAGCTAGCTCTGAGACAGCAGGTAAAATATACACAAAACAACACTGAGGTTACTGAGGCAACAGGCGAGCTAGCAGTGACCAGCAAGGACACTTTGACAAACAACCGACACTCGCCTCTCCGTCGACTGAGAGAAGCTGAGCCACCTGTGGGAGGAAAGACCCCTGAGCTGAGACCGGGTGTAAGCTCACAGACTCTATCTAGCTAGCTGTGATTAGCAGTGTTAGCGGTTTGTTATGACGGAGAGTTCTTGCCAGAGCAGAGCAGTGACGAGGCTCAGAAAAGTATCTACATGACTGCGAGTCCTAAGTGAGAGTGCTGTTAAATACCACAACAGGTCTTATGCCATCAGAGCTACACACACATTTGTGTTTGCGGAAGTTAACTGAAGTCAATTAAGTAGCTTAGTTGAGAGTTACAAAGATCATTTTGCAATCAGGCTACGCCCAGCAGCTGAACTCACTCCATATGCTGTGTTGTAAATAAGCATATATATTTATATAATCACATGGGTGCCTGTGAGGTTATATCAGGGACTGTATATCTGTGTAATTGCACAACAGGATCAATGTGTATGTTCTCTATTTGTCAGGCGGTGCATCATCCTTAGTGTTGGTATTTTCTCTGCCAGCTCTGTCGTCTGTCTTTGCTGCAGGACCCTCTCTCCCTGCAGCTCTGTGACTAACATCCAGGTAGTCTGTGTGTCAGCCAGCAATGCCAGGCTGCAGTGATTGACAGCCGAGGCAGGTGGGCTGTTGAGTCAGTGAGACACACGGGTGTTACCTGATACCTTCCCCCTCTGCCTGTGCTGTGGCCCAACTCGAGCCCCTGCCGCGCTCAGACTGGACACGCACAGAGACACCAGTGAATAGCTCCTGTTGAGAGAGGGGGTAAAAGACTTCCTCGAGAAATTTCGAATGCTAATTTTATATATGCATTTGGAATAAATGCCAGACTGGCCACAATTAAATGGGCAGTTTTGGCTCAGGAGCAGCAGTGGTCCGATCCACTAATCGAAAGGTCAGTGGTTTGATCCCTTAGCCCTTACACTCCACAAATTCAAGTGGCCTTTGGCCAGACGCTGAACCCCAAATTAACCCTGATAGCTGTGGCTATATATAGAAGCACTATATGAATGAGTATGTGATTATGAAGCCCTTTGAGTGGTCACTGAGACTAGAATGCAGTCCATTTACCACAATGCACTAGAACCTCTCACTTCAACAAGTGAATGAAAGCAAAGACACAGATTCATCCATTAGCAACACTGCTTATCCTATTGAGGGTTGCGGGGGGGGTACATCCTGGACAGGTTGCCAGTCCAACATAGGGCTGAGACAACCAACTATTCCCACTCGTATTTACACCCATGGACAATTTAGAGTTGGCAATAATCTATCAATAAAGCTACATGTCTTTGGAATGTTGGAGAAAGTAAAGACAAAAGGTTTACATCTATGAACCTAACAATGTCATAACATAGATAACAGCTTCCTGCTGGAGCTGCATTGGGAACTGGGAAAGTTGGCAGGAGCATGGGGTTGAAGTACCTTATTGTTTTCCTGCTATTTTGCTGTTGCTTTGGATCAGTTGAATATTAATGAATTGATGTGGAAATGTCAGTTATTTCTATGAAGAATAGAGTTTTGACCTATAATTTATCTCTTAACACATGTCTGTTTGTTCTTCATATACCTTATCAATAGCTGCAGCCTGGACATATCACCAGTGTCTCACATAGATGACACATATAGTTGTATTCAACAGGTAAATCTAAATTTGCCAGTATTAGGTATTTTTTGGTCAAAGCGCAGGCTCTCTCACAACAAATCCATTTGTAGCTGCATTAATGAAACATATCTTTCTCCTCTTTTCTGCCATATGATACAATTAACTATGTACTCTGTATCTGATCTGTGTGATTGTCAGGCATTTGAGCAGCAGTGCAGTGCAGCAGCGTGGGGCAGACCGAGGCAGACCACAACAGTGTAGCCATGCTTACATTGGCCAGTAAACTGAAGAGGGAGGATGGAGGAAAGACTGGACGTGCCTCTGGAGCCTCCGACTCCACCCACAGAGTCTCGATCAGAGACCGCCTCCTTACCAAAGGTACACTATTCATTTCTTTATCCATACAATATCTTTACTTCTTATCCTCTGAAGGTCGCAGGGTTCTCGATTCAATCCCAGCTGTCTTAATATTTGAGGACAGACAGTGTTTTTTAACAATGTTATTCTACTAAACGTGGTTTATTCAAACTCTGACGCACAAAAGAACTTTGGCAGACATTAATTATTTTTGTATGAATTCTTCATGTTCCTCTTCCTCCATGGATGTTTGGGCTTTTCCTTCTATTTCAATGTCTTTGTTGCTTCCTTCCTTCTTCTTCATCCACCTGTTTCTCCCTGTCCATGTTTTTGCTCCTTGGTTTTCTATTAATAGCTTCATCTTATTGCCTTGAAACATGACTTCTTAGACACCTGCCTGCTCTCTCCCTTAAATTTGAAAGAGTTCTCAATTTTCTGTTTACATTTATCTCAGACTGTCTGTAATGTTCCAGGTTGGGTTTTATTTCTATAGTGTGTGCATTTACTTGCACGCTACCAGATTGCTTTGACCAGTTTGATTAAGGTTACAGCTTGATGCAAGAGTTTTATATAATTTAAAAGTCAAAGAATGTGAGTCAACAAGCGGCTTTGTTTTGTAAGAGAGTTAATGTCTAGATGGATGTTGTGGGAAACAGAAAACCACATAGCTTGTAATTATAAAACTAAATCTGCTCCGTATTAAGAATTGTATTAATGCATCTGTTTCCTGCTCTTACCAAGGGAGCTTGGTTATTTTGTCATCTTTGTCTTCTTTAACAAAACAAATCTTTCGGATCATTAGCTTTCAGAGAATTTAGATAGCAAAACGTGAAAAAGTAAAGTGTGTCCTACTGAGGCAAAGAAGTGCAGCGAACATTGTTTTGACCAGGTTTCACTGCTCAGAGACACTTGAATTAATTGATGATCTTTTAGAAGAATTTCGCAAGAACACTTGTTCTGATAAAAGCAAGTTGTTCTTGGGAAAACAGTAGCTTCGTAAAAACTCCCCACTAACTCCAAGGGACATGACTATGTTCTGACCTACATGTGAAATGGGATGAGTGGAAAGAAATATCCTTATTAAACCAGATGTTATTAAGACGACACGCTAGAACCACCACATAGATTGTCCAGAGAGGCTGAACCCACCCTATAGAGATAACTATTTTCTCATTGATTAAATATGTAGTTTGTGGCGTTTCCTCTTTTCCCCCCAGTTTTTTTTTTCCTGGAGAGACTAGGAGACCTAAGGCATTGAACCAGCAGCTCATGCAAATCAAAAGTGAAATATGTTGAGAAAGCTTAAACTTAAACTTAAAACTTTACCCATGCACGCCCAACACCAGGTACACAACCCTCTCCTCAACTCCTCTAATCTGTTTTTCCTCCTGGAGATTTTTAAAACTTAATATTCGTTGCTCACATAGGAAATTTGCTGAGCAGGTATCATTACAGTGCCTCAAACTGTGTCTATGTGCATTAGCATCTTTGATGTTGCCTCGGTTCCTCTCACGATCTTCATTGTCATTTTCTCTCAACAGAAGTTGCAGAACTTGAAGCCAACCTCCCCAGTGAGTACACCACACACCTCTGTGCACTGCAGTAACTGAGTGGGTTGAGTCAGACTCCTTTTTTAGGATTTATTGTTCTGTCTCCTCCCAGTGCTTACATTAGCATTTATTCAGATCCACATCTTTATGAGTAAATACTTCTTAAAGTGTTACAGCTCACTAACAGAATTAATATACCAAACATTACTATAGTTCTCTGGTGTAGGTCATTTTTAATAGTTCTTAAAACTGCATAACAACAACATGAAGCTGTTCAGCCTGAATCTGATTATCTTTAATATTAAATGTGAATATGTCTGTTTTTTTCAATTGTAATATTTAATAGTGTTTGTTGATAGAATGTTTAGCCTGTACACATCAAGTTATTTATTAAAGTATGGTCAGTGTAAATTATTGACTCATTCATTTTTGCTGTAGGAAATCGTCTTTAAAGCATAATTTCTCCAGTTTTTCATTTTTTATCCAGACCCACCAGCTCTGCTGCATTAATCTTGCTGTAATAAGATGGAAACGAGCCATAGTCTTTAATATTAAAAACACACACACGCTCCAGGGCCTTGATGGGTTTCATGCTTGTCAAAATTGTCATACCCATCCTGGGAAGGATTTGCTCCAACAAACTTCACTCTAAACTTTTATTTCAGTGCTGGCTCCTGTTTTTGAGAATTAACACCCCAGAATATCAGATCTTCATTAGTCAGTCATCAGGTTATTGTTATGCATGAGAGCAGAATCCATTATGATTGCTTTGGCTGCTTGTTTTTGTTTGTGGTCTAATGAGTTTGTCCTATCAGGTCAGGACCATGGAAGCTGGTTTATGTAGGTTAAACTAGAAAGTAAGAAAGTTGACTGATTTGCTTGGGGAAAATGTTATATACAGAAAAAAGGCAATTCAACAGTGTTAATTTTCACAAAATTGGTAAATAAACTCTGTTGGTATTTAGTTACTAGGAGGACTGTGGACACAAACAAGGGAGTTGCTCCTAGGTCACTGCCTAACATCCTCGCAGAACTGATACAAACAAATGGGTGAAGAAATATGTGAACAAGGGGGTGGAACTAGGAAAATACTCAGAAATCACCCCACAATGCTGAAACAGCCTGTAAAGATGTCTTTTGCTTTTCATACTCGCCATACATTTAGATGTCTGCCAAATCAGGCTGTGAACCCAGTGTGGGACGTCTATTTAAAACAAAAGCTGAGAAGATCCCGAGGATTGTTTTGGAATGGTGACGATCAGAAAAGGGAATTGAAAGTGCAAAGCAATGACCGATGTTATTTATATTTAGATATATAGGCTTTTCCCCATCAAGAGGAGAAACATTTACATGTTTTATCAGCCCAAGTTATCATAAATGATCAATGATTTTAGTGGAGTGAGTCTGAAAAAATACAGATTAACTTTTAGACATGATAAGAGCACCATGAATGATGAGTTGAGTGTTACATGTGTATTTAACATGCAACACACAGAAGATTATCTGATCATTCAGACTAAACTCTGTAGTGTTGTGTTAGATCTAATGTTTACACTCATAACACATTTAGAAAAAAAGAGAGCTTTTCATTGAAAAGAGCTGCTGTGATGTTTTGTTGAGTTCACACAAGTTTCTGCACATGAACTTAGATTAAAAAGTGACGTCTGGAGTGCAATGAATGTCCTCGGACACCAGGGGGGAATGTGGTGCCACAGGGACTCCCGCAGGCCTGTTTCATACATACAGTCTGTGCAGACTGTATGAACACAGTGTTAGTGAGAATGGAATGAAAATACAACATTGATTTAGGATTCCATTATTGGACATAAAAACATGTACTTATAATTAATGGCAGACTCTATTATAGGTGCTTTATCCTTTTGCTCCGACAATTGACACGCCCTCTCCATCTGTTCTGGTTCAGGTACATGCAAAGCCAGTTTCCCAGATGAAGACCAGCTGCATCATTTTCAGCTGGCCGTGTCTCCTGGTAAGAAAATGAACAAGAACACCATCTTTGCCTGTTTTTCCATGTTGTTTATTTAAATATGTGACAAGTTAAAAGTTACTCCTGTTACATGAGATGCAGAAAAACTAGGAACACTTGATGCCATTTTTAAACCGGCTAAAAATGGCTAATCACTCCTTTCACATTGCCAGTAGAGGAGTTGGCCTTTCTATTTTTTCCCCTGGTGAGTCATTGTCGACATCCTGAACGTTCCGGAAACTGAGGGGCTCTCTCCCTTTGCTGTCTTGTCGGTATTGCATCTTGCATGATACAAAGAAAAAAATCACTATTGCTCGTTGGTTCCCTAAGAAGTACCTACCAGAAGGTACACAAACTTCATAGCTATTTACTTACCAAAGCCCAGAATCACTCAGAAAAAGTGAAGCTGGCAGCGTCTACACTGCCAAAATAAAGAGGAAGGAGAAATTAGCGTGTTCATTCTATCTCTGCCTATCAAAGCTGGAGCCAATAGAAACCTGTCAACTGCAGAGTCATTTGGCATGAATGCTGATTGTTGCCATTCCCATTGCAGACAAAAGCCAGATGTTTTTTTTTTGATCAGTGGAAAAGTGGCCTGATTTGTTTGATACTTACAGTAAAAAAAAACAAATCATATATGTCCTTGTCCTGTGAATTTTGAATCTAAGAATGGAAACCAGAACATCTGAAAGAATGTGTTAAGCCAGAAAACATAAGCTTTATCTTTTATCTCTATTTACCAGATTGAAAAAATCAAAATGAAAATTCACAACCAAATGTGATACACGTCTCTGAAGAGCCGCAGCCTGCTACATTCAACCAAATCCACTGCTTTCTCATTTTGCACAATCTTCCAGACAATATGTGGTCTTTTTCTGTGAGCGAATTATGGTGGGTCTAGAATATTGCATGTATATGATGGAGTGGTAGACTGCAAATGTTAGCAATTTGTTCCTAAGCCTATGTTTGTCCCATGAAGTATTCTACCCAAGCCTTCTCTGTATTTCTACATTTCCTCTGCACCGTCATTATTCCCTAAATCCAATCTGCTTGCTCAGCAGTGTTCCAAGCTAAGTGGGCTACCTGTCGAATATTGTACAAACCAAACACACTGGTGTGGAATTACCCAGGTCTCTGGAGGCTCTCTTACCTCGGGCTCCCTTCTCACTATCTGTCATACCCACGTTCTCGTTGTGCTGAATCCCAATGTCACCTTCTCATTTCCCCTGTTTGTAAAATGTGACGATATATCTTCATCTCTTTTTTTGACAATGCTTTAAATTAAGCTGTGTGTGTGTGTGTGTGTGTGTGTGTGTGTGTGTGTGTGTGTGTGTGTGTGTGTGTGTGTGTGTGTGTGTGTGTGCGCGCGCGTGCGTGTGCGTGCGCATGCGCGCGCGAGTGTGCGCGAGTGTGTGAAAGGAAGGAGCAAAGCTAGATGCTGGTAATTGGGTGCAGTTGAAACATGTAGACAATATTTTCATGAATAACTTCGATGACGCCGGACCAGATATGTGCTGAGGAAAATTATGCCGAATCTTCTGCTTCTCTCAAAAGATCAACATTAAATGTTTGTAATTTTCAGTTTTATACTCTTTCTGCTTTTTAGACACAGTAAAGACAACAGCTTAGCCACATTATCTAAACCAATTAATAAAGTAATAATCATGTTAATCTTATAGTACAGACAACTGTGTGCACATGCAATTACGGCAAGCACAGTAAGGATGAATGTCCTATGTTAGTATGACAACACATGTAAATGATCATATTTCTCAAAATGATGGGAGGTTTTTGTTTGATATACTAACTGCTAATTTTAAACGATCACTTTATTTCTGCAGTTATTTTTATTGAATTACTTGAAACTTTTAATAGTTGCATTTTAAGGACTAAACATTTACAGTGCCTAATACTTGCTAATGTTCTAAAGATATATTTGTTGAGTTAAATTTGTTATGAGAGTTAGAATGCAGTAAGAACTTTCGGGCATACATTTTCGAGATGATGATGTGACACCTTGATAATTTGAGACAGCATCCGTTTGATCGGCCTCGTGTGCGAGCGCCGGTGCCTGTGATTCATCCCTCGCCCGGATTCTGGGACAGCTCACGAAGGCCTTTGTCGGCAAAATCTGCAGAGAAAAGCAAAGATCAGCAATTAGAGCAAAGGTTTGGTGTCATGTTCTTTCAGACCCGTTGATAAGGAGATTGAGTTCTCAGAGAAAGACTTGGTCAATTATTCAAAAGGCTGTGTCTACCGTTCCTCAACCACCACACACATCCATCTCCCCTTTTCATTACCTTTGACATGCTCTTTTCTCTTTTTGCAATTTCTTTTCTCCTTTGTTTACTCTCTTTCCTGCCTGCTTGTTCAGTTTCCTCTCGAGTTAAAGTTGGGAAGGTGATGTCTGTTCATCGATCGTCATTGTTTGCTTAACACAAACACCATTCTACTGAAAATGTAGTGACAGATCCAGAGAAAATAATTTCGTTCTTGTGGGTAATCTCTATAATTCACGTACAGTAGAATTCTCTGAACATACTGTTTCAATTTACTAAGACTTTTATCTGGTAACTACATTCCCTCGTATCTATTGCACAAATAAAGTATTCAAGTTAAGAAAAGTAGTAAGTAGTAGTTGTCTCATTTTTACTTTCCTGTGCTGCCAAAGTTTCTTTGCAAACAGCAGTTTATAAAGTAGACACTATCCACATAGAATCTTCAATTTCTACCACACAGATTGTAATTGTGGTGAGGCAGGAAAATAAAATTCAAAGGGAACTTGCCCCAGGATGCAGGTTGTCCAATATTCCTTATACTTGAACCAGTGTGCGACAAAATCATCTTGACATCAAGGCTTACAGAAGTGCTTCTTTCCATTATTTTTCCTCTTTCTTTATTACAGCAACCAGGGAGCTTATCTCTAAACTCATGTCTGTCCTGTGGTTTCTTTATTTATTTGTAAGCAGGATTCACCAAAGTTGGTGGAGGGATGGCCAGTCCAAACTCTTACAGCTAGGCCAATCGTGTGTGTGTGTGTGTGTGTGTGTGTGTG